CGTTTGAGGTATATGAATGTGATAAAAGCAATTATAGCATATGGAGACATATATTGAATGATGTTGGTGTGTACTAGACTTTGCTATATTTCCTTTTTTTCCTTATGTTTTAATTTCCTTTGCATGGTGTTTCTTGCTTTTTTTATTTTATTTGTGCTCTGCATCATGTTGTTTATCTCAAAAGGGAGTAGCATGATATACATATTTATGTTCCTCTGAGTTTAAAAGCACATACCATTTATTGCCAGAATATTAAAGCCTGAAACACAGTAGTATGCAAACACTGACTGCCCCTTAAATCTTTCTCTTAACCTAGTGCATTTCTCATTAGTATCAAGAGTATCCATATATCAGGTTTAATTTATTCTTTTGGATCAACAGCATCTGTGGTTGAGGAGGGAGAGGAGACTTTTTTAAAAAAAATTAAAGGATCTGGAGCAGATGTTATTATTTTATCACCGCAGGCTATGGATTTTGTTAGAATTAATTATCACAGATAGGAAGACCTTTAAAAGGCAGAGCTAATATCTGTTCTTGGCGGATAGATAGGTTTCAACAGATTCAAACTTGGGATAAGACACCAGTTTTAGGAAATGTGAAGGCTGCAGAAACTGAAGTGGGCTTGAAAAATAGTAGCAGACAAACTCTCTGAATGAAAACTTTGTCCATTGCTATGTATCTTCTCAATACAAAGCTGAAAAAGTTTCTTGGATGCCAGAGAACATTACGTCAGCACCTATGTGGTCATTTTCAAACTCCATCCTTTCTATATGAAATTGCCTTTTGTCAGACTAGTCCTGGTACTGTCTCAACATCCCTGAAGTTAGTAATTAAAAATAAACATCCATCACATTTTGGTAATACCTGGCCCATAGTCAGGAGGGAGTGTGATCAGGAAAGCAGATGTTGTTAAAACTGTGAACCGTTGGCCAGAAAGCATATAGCCTAGGCCAGTGTTTCTCAACCTTGGCAACTTTAAGATCTGTGGACTTCAATTCCCAGAATTCCCCAGCCAGCATGATCTTAAAGTTGCCAAGGTTGAGAAACACTGGCCTAGGATAACAATCCTAAATTTACTTATGTGGAAATTAATTCCAAGTAAGTTGATATACCAGCAAACAAGGTTGTTTAAACTCGTGGTTTTTGGGGTAACATGAATATGGCTAGAGAAGAAGGAATGTGCAAAAGAGGATCAGCAGGAATGAAGGGTAAAGTTCAGCTTCTCTCCTACTTGCTAATCTTCCCCTTTCAATTAAACCCTTCAGGGCACTCTTTGGATTGATTTCCAGTAACTATTTTCTTTATCAACCCTACTTTTAATGTTGTGAGTCAGACACAGGCTTCGGAAACAACATTAGGCTCATAATGTGGTTCTCCTGTAAATCTAACTGAGGTTGATGGTTTGGGCCAAGTGGGCTCTCACCTTACTTTAGCCACATCCTATGCTATTTGGGCTTTATGATTCCATTGTGTTCTGTTCTCAGTAACTAAAGACCATTGTGGCAGTGCAGAGAAGGAGAAACATTAATTGTGCATTGGTTGCCTAGAACTATTCCAATTTCCAATGACTTAATTTTGAAGAAGAAGGCATTCTTCTTCAGCAGCTGTTAAGGTAGTCTGAACGTAATTGTTATTCTTTCGCCACCACAGGAGGGGAAGCAAGGAAGAGGGACAAGAGTCAATCAAGGTGGAGGGAAATCTCTCCCTTTGCCAGTGTGGTAGAAGAATCAGCTTCAGCCAGTTCAGGCAATGGTGAGGAATGATGGGAATTACAACCCACAACATCTAGAGGGTCCCTCCTCCCTGTGCTTGCCTATGAATTAAAGGGAAAGAACAGAATCTGAATGAGTAAAGTCCCATTCAGCAGGGTGTGATCAAAGAAGCAAGAATCATACACATAAAGAGTTTTAATGCAAGAACAGGGTAAGATGGAGAATCTTGGAAATTGCAGTGGGTCTCCCCAGTCCTAGTCCATCTCCTTTATCATATTACTTCTCGATTTTATCCCATGTAAAGTCAAGCCCAGCCTCCCAGCAAGAATTACATGGACTTCAGTGAGGAATGGTTAATGCAAGATAAGATGCAGAATCTTGGAAACTGGGAGAGGAACCTCCAACCCTCTTTTATTAGGGACTTCATGAAGGCAGAATCTCTTTGAAAGTTTTGGATCTCTTCTTCCTGGGCTTTCTGCAATCCAGACTGAGTTGCTGTTTATGAGATGTGCCCTGAGATAAGCCCAGATGAAGTCCCCTCTCATCTGTTGGCTGTCAGTGTCTAGAGCCCCTCCCTTTCTTTCTCAGCTGCTCACAACTGGTCACATGGTGGTTCAAACCAAACATCCATTTAAGCCAACATTTTGGATTCAACTATGGAGAGCCATAAGAGTAATAGAGGATATACTTTCCTAGAAGGATATTGCCAGTATTCTGGAAAACTTTCAATATAGTCTATATTCTGTATTTTGTGTTGTGCAAACATGATATTCTTATAACATATTGTGACCCATTATCTCCTTGGCCCAGTTTTCAAAACATACTGCATTTTATTCTTATTGTTTTTAAATACATACACAGATATGTATGTATGTTTGTACTGTTGGGGTCAATGTTTATTTTCCTTGGATTATCTTGTATATAGATGCCCAGCAAACTCTAATTCCTCTCTCTATAGCTGTCTTTTTTCACTACGGATTGTTTATCACAGTATTCATGGTAAAGTGACAAACCAGATTGGTATGAAGTTGTTAAGGTTTGTAGTTTAGGATAAACATTTATCAAGCTGTGGTTTAGCTGAATCAGGAACTGAGCCAAATTATTATTGCCAGGGCTATTTAAAGCCTAAGAAATTAAATCTTCCCCAAAAAGGCCTTTTTTCAAAAGAAGCAATTGGAAGTTATATAAGTCAGTATTTTAAGATCCAATTCTGTTTTGTTTTTTTTCTTTAAACCCTCAGAAATATCAGTTCTAAAACTAGGAATTATGTACCTTAATGGTGACAGCAGAGAAACTGACAAAAGTGGAACACCAGTGTGAAATTAACTGTTGCAGCCTTCACCTGTCATTTTAATATTGTTGTGCATTATGTAAAGTTTTTTGTAGTCAGTCCCCTTCTAAATATTTCAGCTCTTTGTACCAATCCCAGCCATCTGTTCCACAGGTGAAAATGTCCTTGCACACAGTTGTGTTTGTATGGATTGCTGTTAAATGTAACCATCTATGGCTACTGCTACTCCTCCCCCACCACCTCCTCCTCCTCTGTATTCCCCCCATTTTGGGGCATTTATAGTCTCCTGAAGCAGCTCTTAGCTTTTTCAGATCAACCAAGATTGGTTACACAGGACTGGGCCTAGCTAGTACTTGGGTGGGAAACTGCCAGGAAATTTCAGGACTGTAAGCAAGCCTGGAAGTTTGGCATGTGTGTGTGCATGGAAATATCCTAGAAGAAGAGAATGGCAAATCGATTCTGATTTTGTATTTCCCCTAGAAATTAGCTCAGCTGGAGGGAGATTTTACTTTTAGGCTGTAGTTGATGAAGGCATCTAGCCAACTTTGATCTTGAAAAGTTAAGCAGGGTCAGATCTGGTTAGTACTTGGATGGGAGATTACCAGGAGATCCTAGGGCTGCCAGCTAGACTAGGAAGTAAAAAAAAAAAATCCAGCACAAAGGTAAAGGCAAACTGTACCCTGAAAGAGAACTGTTTCCCCTGAGAATTCAGTGCTTGGTTTCAAATAATCCAGGATTCCCAATAATGTGATTTTGCTGAAGTTCTCACTGGCTATCTACATATACTCGGTGGCTGCTGAAATGCTGCAGCAGGAGACTTGATGACTGCCTGTAGGCACTGTTGGCTAACAATGATAAAAGGGATACAGACACACACTTGCACATATACATTTGCATTCATAGAAGTGTGGTTGCTAATAAAGGACCAGAAAGGGCATAAATGGTTCCAAGAGATTTGGGTCACTGGCTCTTCATAAGGCCTGACAGTCAATCTGACATCTGTCTATGGAACTGAGGATTGGAAGAAATGTTTTCAGAATGTGGCTAGTGAATTAAAATTATGGTGATATTTTTGCTGCAGATCAGCAAAAAGCAACTTTGGTGACCTGCAAGGTATAATGTAGCTGTTGGGGAATAGGTGATGGTCTCAGAAAATAGCCATGCCTGTCTGGGTATGTTTCTTTCCCTTGCAACTTCACATTTATGCATGAAAACATCTGGAAAGGGTGAACAATGGGGAGAGGGCAAGCGATGAAACGTGTGGCAGTGTTGTAATGCCAACTCCATCCCCTTTGTACTTGTGTTGTGAAGTTGCGTGCAAGAATGGAAGGGGTGGTGCTTGCATCACAACATCACAATGCATATTTCAAGTTTTTCATTTACAGATTGGGATGTGGTTATCTAAGGGACCATAGTTTCTGCCCAACCCGTACAATCCAGCAGACTTGGCAAGCTCTAGTCCCATTGATTAAACGATATCTAGAATGATTAGATATTGGATTCTGATTTTTTTTTCTGGATATTCCTTTATGGGTTATTTGCATTTCCTTGTTTTATATCATATGCCAACCAGAGGCACAATGGAATTGAGGGGCCTATAAATCCAGTAAATCTAAACTAATAAATTTAGTCACTGCAGTTTGTACTAGACATCTCTGCTTTACAAATAAGCCATCATTTTGGAAGAGTACCTATTTTTTACACCAAACATGGATCAGGAGCTTTTGTGCCTCTTTTGACAGTTTCTAGTGTTATGGACTCTTTGACATTGTCTCAGGTGCAGTTTTACTATGTTTTAAATGTCTTTTTTTGCTCTGCTGTTTTTAATTGTGCACACCACCTTCAGTTGTACATCAACTGGATGGCTATATAAATTGCTTAAATAAATTCTTCCTCCTCTCCAAGAAACCTTTGGAATCCTTTGGAATTCCTTTATAAGGCTTTAAGCTTAAAGGTATATTGATCTCATATGGTTATCATTGTTCTACCACACGCAGGAAAAAAATTTAGAGTGGTTTCCTCGGATGAGAGCCATGTCCCTGGTTAGCAACGAAGGTGATAGTGAACAGAATGAAATCAGGAATCTGCAAGAGAGATTGGAATCCACCATGATCTTGGTCAAGCAGCTTTCCAGTCAACTAGCTGAGCTTAAAGAACAGGTGAGTTGTCTTGTAATCTGTCTCTCTCTCTCTTTGTGTATGTGTCACAAAGCAGAATATGATATGAAAGCCAATATGGTGTGAAATATCAGTCAATCTGGCAAACAAACACCTAAATAAAATATAGATACACACCTATAAAAAGAAGGAAGCTCTCAACTAGACCATAGTGATGTCATTCTTACAAAAATGGACATTTGCTCCTTGAAAGCCTTTCTCCACATTTATAGAACCTTTATCAAGTAAAAGCAAAAATATGTATTTTAACCAAGACAAGAAAACATTTTGATGGCATAATCTAATGAATCAGATCAGTGAATTAACCAAGAATCCCTATATGAACTCTGTTCAAATTCACATTTCTAGTTTTATGTTGGCAGCGGTATAAAACCAGTGAGCGTATTTGGATTGGAAAGAATTGCCCTGAGAAGGAAGCATTGCTACAGAAAAATCCTGTATATTCTGAATATTTTATTTTACTCTGTGCCTCTGCTAAAGTGAGAATCGGGCAGGGATCTCTCATGAAATGATCTGATGTTTTAATCATTACCTGTATCTTTCCTGAATCCAGAATTAACTTGTTCAAAGTGCTATCTGATGGTTTAAAAATTCCTAATCATCCACTATTTGCACGAGGGTACTTTGTGTGTAGAATTGCTCTGAGGAAGGAGAAATCATCCTATACATGCCCAAAGACTTGTTTTGCAAAACTGACCCCCACTTGAAAGGAATCCCTGGCTAATAATCATTTTCTTCCCCTTTCAGTTCTGTATCACTGGTTTTCCCCCTCCTCTTTATGACTTCCAAATACATACATAGACTTTTAAAAGAAAATCTCAGCAGGTAACATTGGTAACCCTGTGCCTCTGGAAAGAATAGCCAGCTGCTGATCTTGTCTTTGTCTCCTTTCTTGCCCTTAGATGACAGAACAAAGGAAAAACAAACAGAGGTTGGGCTTTTTGGGATCCAACGCTGCTGCCCACGTGAACCATCATGCACCACCACATTGATACCACCCAGGCTATGATGGGCCTTTCATCAATATTCTCTCTTGATCACAAGGCAGAAGAGCTGAGCGTGGAAGGACTGAACAGGGCCTATTGTTACCAAGTTTTCAACTGAGTGCCAAAATGCTAAATGACTGAGCTCTGGGAACAATTTGTAACTGTGTTTTATGGTTGAAAGGGGCCGTGGCTTAAACCCTACAGATAATGCAAAATGGGGACATAATCTTCATCTTTGCTCAGCCGTATCAATAAACAAACAAATGAAAAAAAGGGGGGGGGCTCAGTTTATACTCTTGCATTTCAGTTGGGTTTAAATTTTTTTTTTATCTTTCTTTCTCCAGAGGCTGGCAGGAAAGAAGCTGAATTTGGCTCAGTTGTTTTGAATGCCGTTCTAAGAAACCTTGTAAATCCAGCAACTTACTGAGAGAGTCGTTGATTAACCCAAAATGCAACAGTGTTATTCAAAATCTGTAAAATCTGTTTCTTGTTGTTTGCTGGCTCATGTCATTTGTCATGTTTGCACGGTGTTTGCTCTTTGGGGAAAAAAAAAAACCAAACACATGTAAATATGCTACAGCAAATTAATTTGCATTAGGAGATAAACAAAGTCATCTCCTTCACCACCAGATGTTTTTGCTTTTTAAAGAAGACAAACTATAATGCTAGGAGCATTTTTGCTGTCAGCTGTACAGTTCCTATAAAATACAGTACAATGAATCTGTGGCTTTCCATTCTTTCCATTTATTCATGTAGCCACCAAAGACATTAGAATAGAACACTCTATTCACCAAGAACATTACATCAAATTTAGATCCTTACTCCTGGACTTAGCTATACCCTAAAGGTCGTTGCAACTAAAGATTCTAAGTAAGGATGGCCTTTAATCTGTGGTTAAAAGCAAGGGTGAGGTTGAGGAGAAAAAGAACTCCTTTATAAATCTTTAGTATCAAAGATTAAGTTCAGGGTGGTAAGCAGGTTTGAAATGTCTACGTAGAAACAACTGCAAATGGGCCATTGTCATTCATAAAGCACACAGAAATTTGACTTTGCTGCTTCTCCTTTCTCAGTTTCTAAGCCAGATGCTCTTCAGAAAGGATTCACAACTGTGTTGATCTCCTACTTTGAGAGGAATGTACGATCTCATTATTCTTCATCTTCTGATTCTACCTAGCCCATTCTCCTCATTGGAAGGATTACTCAGAATATTAATTCAACGTTATAGTTCTTACTGCTGCAATGGTTAGGAGAGCAGTTATCTCAGACTGAGGATTAATTCCCAAATCCAGGTTGCCAAAATCCAAGTGAACACTAGTAGTAGCAATAATTTAGCTACCATAAAGTGTCTTTCAGATTTTTGCAGCTCAGATCTGGGAACAATGGATTGTCTTGTCTGGAAATCAGTATGCAGTGTGTTGGGCAGTCCAAGACACTTTAAGAGCTAGCCTAACTTCCAAACACTGGAGTGAAATGCATTTTTTTAACATTAAATTTTGGTAAATCTGGGGCTTCCTTGTCTGACTATAGATTTAGTAAAAAAAACTTTTTAGTAAAAATGCTGATAAGGAATTGAAAAATGTATTTCTGGTTGTGAGTGAAATCTAGACTCGGTTCTGCTCAATCAGTCATGACTTCTGTAAGTATGTCTCTTCTAGGTAAGACTAAAACTAGATTTCATCTTATCTGAATAAAATAAGTTGCGCTGTTTACATATCTTAGGAGAACTGGAAGCTTATGAGACAATTCATGTGTGGCTTTTCAAAAATCTCTTTCTGGCATCTTGGAAGACATAAATGCAATGCCAGTCAGAGAGATTACACTGTATCTTGTGATTATGTCATATTATAATACCTACAGGAAACATGTTTTGCACATTTTATTGACTTAAGTGGAGCGTTCGAGTTTCACACCAGTTCTCATCATCCACAGTATACTTTAATGAAACTTGTGGATAAGCAATATTATGTGGTTTATTTCCACCATTACTTGCACTTTATAATGAGTTATGTCATCATGTAGACTATATCGCATCAGCCTTATTAATTGATTGCTATCCAAAATATGTGTCATTTGGAAGGGTGCCTGATTTTATAGGGCTTTCCCAAGCCACAATTATCCTAGGCTCATTATAACAAGCTCAGACTAAAACCTCCTTGCATTCCAAACAGTCTAAGAAGCAAAATAGGTTTCAGTTAAATACTTTGTACCTGCAACTGAACTCTTAGGTGTTTTGCTCTGTCCCCACTTTAGAATCACCTCTGAAGGTCCTGCTGGTGGCTCCTTGGTTGAAATGTGTCTTTTCCCAGCATGGCAGGGCAGCTGTGCAGGGCAGCTACATAATCTCCTGAAAAGACATGACTGCTTTAAAGAGTTTCCTCCCATGCTATCCAAAACACCTTTTCCTGTTTAAATTTGAAGCACTTCACAGATCAAATAGTTAAAAGCAGGATTCATTTTCCTGCTTTTTTGAAACCTTTTTTGAGAATGGGTCAAAAATGAACTCTACCAAACAATGGATTAATCTTCATCAGGGAAGAAACCTAAGAATTTTGTGAGGACAGACCATGTTGTTGTTTTTTTTAATTTCCTTAATGTGTCAGAGAGTTACTCCTGCTTTAAGATGCCCGGCAGAGTTTCCTTTGTAAATTCAAGATGCAACACCTCTTGAGAATGACATGACATCATGGTAACATTCTCCTGGGCAGTCCTGAATGGGTGGGTGGAATTTATAGCAAAGCATTAGCAAGTCTTAACAACAATTGATGTCAATGGCTATAATTAATCTTAGTTAACTGTGTCTGGTTCAAAACATGAAAGTTGTAAAGTAAACAAAAAAATAAAAAGGGTCATATCCTGAGGACTAAACAGAAAATATGCAATTTTATCCATGTTTACTTCCAAAAAAATGCTAACAACTTTATAATAATTGATGCCTGCCTCCAGTGTTTTGTGATTTGCACAGGTATATTTATATAACTCATCCCACCTTGTACCATATAATGCCTCACTCCACCCTACTTCCAACAAAGACGTAGACTTGTTCCACTGGCAATTTAGACTTTTTGCTCAGACTGGAGAGTTTAATGAAAACCTCAATTTGCAGTGTCTGTTGCTTTATATTGCTTACAAAAACTAGATACAATTCAGTGTTGTTCAACCTTATCTTCTGCAGGGTTTTTACCTCCCTTGTGGGCATTTCAAAAATAAAAAAGCACCAACTTCTGGATCTTTACACAATTGCTGTAAAGAAGTTTTCTCCTCTCAGGAGAGAGAAGAGAGAACTCCAAAACTAACGGATCTTTTTATTCTTAAAGCTGAATTGCAAATAAAGTATTTCTATGGGAATGAGAATCTGAGGACCCAACTGATCTGTTGATGTGTGTACCAAAGTCTGGTTACCAGTAGCTTCATCTGAGTCTTTGGTTTTCCCTCATCCCATTCTGATCCTTGGTTCTTATTGACTAAACAATATTCAGCACATAGAGGGAAATCACATTCAGAGCCTTTTTTTTTTTTTAAATGGAAGAATATGAGGAATTGAATTTTGTCCATGTTCTCTTTTCTAGTTAGGTTTCTAGAGGGGAACAGATATTCTGGACCCAGGTGTTTGAAGATTGTTTTGCAGGGAGATCTAAACTTAGAATATAGGTGTCAGAATTTTGTTGGCCATAGAGATGGTTTGTCATAGTTTCTAGGCCAGACCACCACCATCCATTAAGTCATTTACCCTTTTAAAGAAGATCCATAGTTACATGTTTTCAGGATGTGGAAAGATTACGAGAATATGTACAAGGAGTGGTTGGAATGTATATTATCTCTGAAAAATTTATTTCATCGTATTCAGAATGATTCCTGTTCAGAAATCATTTCCAAGATTCAAGAAGATATTAGAGACCAAAGTATGCAGTATCTTACATACTGGAAATACATTTCTTCTTTTCTTCCTTTTCCTTGTAAAGCAACCTTGAAGGACTCCTTGCAATCAGGAAGCTGTGAATCCCCAAGACAAAATGATACATGATGTTATTTAAGCTGATCCCTGGAAAAGGCAATAAGTGCAGGAAAGCATCTGCTTTGGAAGGGTGGTGATATTTCTGGGAATACAGTGCAGGAGAACAGCAAAACTGAAACTGGATCAATGAAGGGACATGACAGGAGTCAAAAAAGAAAAAAATGTGGAAAAGGTTCATGCTAACATCATTTTTGAAATGTCATGATGTAAGTATTTTGATGCTAGTGCTAAAAGTATCTAAGCCAAGAGGGGAGAAATAGAGTGCTTGGTGTACAAGACAGTAGATATTGTGGCGTACCAAAAACATACTGGGATGGAGAGAATCAATTCAGTTATTCCTGGATACAGATTATAGAAAGAAAAGGAAAAACATGATGGAAGGACATAACGTTTAACATACTAGAAAACATTGGAAGGCCACATTCCACCACAGAATCACTATGAATGGTGATCTAGCCACAAATGTAAATTAAGTCTGGGTTATTGCCTGCCTAATCAAAATGCTGAGGTTGATCTTTAAAAAGTGAAAGAAATCAGGGAGGAATGCAAATGAGAAGTTCTTGTTATTAATTTCCCGCCCACATTAACCAGGAACATTTATGCTCATGCCATGACAATGAAATGAAATGGCTAGATACTGAGAATGATTGTGACTAAGAACAACTCGTGTTGAACAAAGCACTAGATAGGCAACCCTAGGTAGAAACCTAAATGGTGACCATGATCTGACAGCAGTAGAAGTGTAGAACTGATATGAAACAATGACCATAATGCAATTAGATTTGGCTTACATGAAAGTTGGGAACTGCCATTAGGGTCCAACACAGATTTGGCTACAAAAAGTGAAACATTTCAAGGATGTCTGGTCTAATGTGTAATGATATGTGGGAATGACCTTGGGAGACAGGGCAATGAGATGCAACGAAGGCAACAGTCAGATAAAAGGCAGCTGAGCCCGCAACAGGAATATGGGTGGACCAAGAAGCTCAGAAGAGACCTTCCCTAGTTCTGGGGCTGTAAAGGGGATGGGGGAGAGAAGTACTTTCAGACTTGCAAGATTCTATGAATGTAATCTTACAATAAAGTAGAATTGGCTCATCTGGTTGTGTTTCATGTCTGGTCATAAGGCTGACAAATGAGAAAAGATTTTAAGAACAAGTCAAAAGAACTAAAGCTCTTCATAATGCCTGAAGGTTATTTCAAAACAATAACTCAGGCTCAGTCAGTATGATTCCACAGCGTGTTCCACAATAGTTCAACCAACTCCAGGAAAAGGCCAACGTAGCTCTCTAGTATTGTCCAAGAAGCTGTAAAAGTTAACAAGGCTTCCTTCCAGGAAATTGAGAAGCATCTATTTTAACCTTGATCAAATAAACCAACTTTATATTCCTTCCCTTTACTTTTAACAATCTTGGTCTTCAATCCCTTCAAATAATGTTCTAGAACTTGATTTCTTTTCATTTTTTCTTTTTTCCCTCTCGCCAAATCCTTCAAAACTTTAACAGGTCTCTTTTGTAAATCCACTGTAGGAAAATTATCCAACTCCCTCTTTTGATTTGTTATTCATAAGTCCCTTTTAATTATTAAGACATCAGCCATTTCATTTGTATATCTAGTATATTGTCTTTTTCCAGATCATTCTTGTAGCCTGACATTTTTAAATCCACGTTCAAATCATTTTCAGTCTTGTTCAGTAGAACCTGTTCTTCTTCCATAACATCATTCACACACAGTCTATCTATGATGGCAGATATTCTTAAAATGAACTTCTGAATCCATTGTTCACAAATATCCTTCAATACATCCAATGTTAAAGTAGTTTGCTCCATTCTGTATTAACAAATCAAATTTAAGTGTTCTTCTCCTTAAATTGTAATCTTTAACTCCTTCTGGTTCCCTCTTGTGTCCAACCTTCAAAGTCCCATCCTATCATGTTTTTTTCCCCCCTAGAATTCAAAACAACAGCTATTTCCCATGAGAAGGATTCTTATGATTAATTTCAAAACCTTATTTCAAATCCATCTGGACCCTTAATCCATTTATAACTTTCCAAAAATAACACTCTAATCACCCTTTTGCCATTTATTCCCCCCCAAAAGAATTATTCTAAGTCCTTAAACTTGTACTTAAAACTTCATTCATTAAGGGTTGAAGGAAACTCAATGCCATAAAATTCACTGTTCTGAAGGTTCTTAAATTTGAAAAGCAATAAAAAAATAATTCCAAAAGTGATTAAAAAATGAGGCTCTACCAAACTTTATGTCCATATAGGCTACATTATGACTATGAGCTTAGTTGGAATCCCTCGACACCCAGCCACTCGGCTCACCAACCAACCGCAAAAATGTCAGTTCCTGCAGTTTCCTGGTAAGGAGCAGCTGCTGGAGTACAATATTCATCAAGAGATTTCACTGGCCAGGATCCACCCTCTGGCCACCAATCTCTGCCATAATGCCATGCCCACTACTTCAGGACATCTAACTCACCATGTCCTCACTGGAAGTCTCCCAGAACCTTACAATTCTCACCACTGAACAACATTTTATTGGGCAGGACTTATGTTCAGGTCTAGCATCCCCTTAAGTTATTGCTAAATACTAAATTATATTAAATATACTAAACTATTCAGGATGGTGAAAACCAGAAATGATCATAGATAGCTTCAAAAGATTCTTTAAACTATGTGGATGGTTAACTAAATGACAAATGTAGTTGAATTTTAAGTAATGTAACGTGATGCACATTGGGGCAAACCACCTCTCCAACTTCACAAACAGAATTATAGGGTCTCTGCTACCTGTAACTAACCAAGAAAAATAATTTGAGGTCAGAGTGGATAACCTAGCAAAGGTGTCAATTTAGTGTGCTACAGTTAAGAAAAGAGTAAATTCTATACCAGAGGTCATTAGGCAAGGGGTTGAACATCAGACTGCCAAATTATAATATAATGCTCTTTTACAAATCAACTCCCCTGCTGTTTAATCTGTACAGAAATCCACTCATGGCCAAAATAAATCATTTAGAACACCACCCCCAGAAGTAGCAAACAGACATATTGCAACTTTGTTGTATGCAGATGACATAGTACTTCTATCACTAATATTGTGAAGTGAGATTAGCTCCATCCCTCTTAACATTCCGTAGGTCCCTCAAGACCTGGCTATGTGATCAGGCCTGAGGTTCCCAGGGGACCAGGGAGATTTTATGATGGCTCCCTTATTAATTTTATCCCCTCCTGTTTTGTGTGTTTTTACTGTTTTTATAGGTAGTTTTTATGTTTTTTTTTAATTGTTGTACGCTGCCCAGAGTCACCTTGTGTGAGATGGGTGGCTATATTTGGGCATGGTTTTCCATAGCTCCATCAAATGCAGTGTGCACCTTTACAGATCAAAGATACATCTACAGCTAGAATAAAAGGGAATGTTTTGGTTGCCACATATGAAAAAGGATATAATATTCCTAGGTGGGAGGGAGAGAAGTAGAGATGGAAAAAGTGGAGAAGGCAACCAAAATGATCAAAGACTTGAACCCCTTGTTGGTGAGAAAAGGCTAAAATGTTTGAGACACTTTAGCTTGGATAAAAAAGTGAGGAAGACATGATTGAGGTGTATAAAATCATTCATGGCATGGTAAGCAAACAGAGAAAAGTTTTCTCCCCACCCACTTTCAAAACACTAAAATTGGGGATTATCCAATGACTGTGGAGTCCTTGGTGCTTTCTGAGCTTGGTTCTTTGCTTGCAGACATTTCATTACCCAACTAGGTAATATCATCAGTGCAAGTGAGTATGGGGTTTGCTCCCTGTTTATATACAGTAGCTTGCCCTGTCAGTGTTGGTGGGGATGTGGTTTTCTTCTTGGTAGTTCCTTGATTGGGATATTGTTTTCTGTTTGATTGTTTGTCCAGTATTAATCCCTG